CTTTTGGTAAAAATCTTGGGCACATTGCCTTATTGAGTAGAGAAGAAATGCATTCTGGTTATGGGAGATGTTCCCGTGCCTGCTGTCAGTGACATTTATAGTGCAAAGTGACAGCTGCAGTTTCTTGCATACCTTTTTCTGAAGGGGTATTTACCTCCAAATTCTAGCGTGGTTAAAAGAGCTAATAACATGTTCTTATGGATTATCAGATCTCTGGACTAGCAGTGTAAATTTTAAATTTTTCTTCTCCTGTGAAATGAATTATCCTACTAACAGCTACATCTGTCCCAAAAGGTTTATTTGGAAAACAAGAGTTCTTGAAATTTTTTATCTACTGCGTCCTCTCCCAATAGTCTATTCCCCTCTGGTTTTATGCTTTTGAGTGTATTTTAGACAATTTCTGCCACATAATGGGTTTGGGGGTTTTTGACGCTGTAGTTGCAAAGGGAGTCATTGCTTTTGGGCTTTTGTTGTTATTGTTGTTGCCATGCAGACCTATCTCTTAATAGAAAAACACTCACTGTATCTCAAGTTCATTTTGAAGGAAACATACATAGTAAAAGAATGAGAGCTAAAATGCAGCTCCCTCTAAGTAGGTGTATTAGCTAAGTGTTTTTCAGTAATCCAGCTGTAGGCAGTCACTGCAGCAGGTTTTGCTTCAGTAAAAAGTGCAGGCAGTTATCATTGCTACCAGAAGCTGCAGTAACCAGTAGGTGAAGGGACCATTTTATAATCACCTCCTCATGCAATGTGGTTGTGGCTACTCACTGTAAGAGGTATCTCTGCTCTCTTTTCAAGATGGAATTTAACTGCTGCATATGTAAGTCTTGCATCTTCTCAGTCCTCTGCCTCTATCAGCACATATTTATGCCTTCCACTCCCCATGCACTATCCCTGGGGAGCTTTTGGAGCTAAAGGCTATCTGTTCATTTTCTGCACATTTCTAGCTTTAATATCTATCACTGAACTTGGTCTCAGGTGGACCAAATGTTAGCTTGTGGATTCAACACTCTGTGATAGAAAATATTTTAGAAACTATTTGTTCCTTGTCTAAACTGCTTGCTTTTCTAGAAATTGAAAAATTACCCACAGATTTTAAAGTCCTGTATAAGTAAGTGCTATGCTTCAGGATTCAGACTTTACTTGTTTCTTCATGTGCTTGCTTTCTTCCCTACATCTGAACATTTTTTCCTATATTCTGGGCTAGTTCATCACATTCAAATTCATCACATACCCCAGTAGAAATACCAGTTTTTAGAAGTGGGTTTCACAATATGAAGCAGAAATAGAGGAGCTAGAAAACTCTGGTTACAAAAGCAACTTTAAAGAGTCTAAACCATTCATATAAAACCTGTGTGATGTTCCATTTCCTAATATGTTTTTGTTCCCAGAGCAGCAACTAACTACTGCTGATAATAGAACCAGTGGCTGTAATATACACAACCAGTTGTTGCTGTTGAGTATTTTCAATAATGCATTTAATTAGCTAGGGGTTTGGAGGGTTGATTTCTTTTTCCTATCTTCCTTTGCTTTTCATCTTCTGGTTGCAGTATGTTGGTGATCTCTTTTTTTTCACAGCAGAGATCTTTGATACCAAGTACTGTATTGTGGAGCTAATGGGGTGTGCCGCAGGCTTTCTGTCGAGTAGCACAGTACCTTCTCTTCAGACCTTCTCCTCCTGCAAGGGGGCAACTGCTGAGAATAACCTTTCTGCCTATTGTGCACACATCTGTTAAGCTGATGCTTAGAACAATTATAGCCTCTTTCTCCTCCTACCACAAGGCTCTGGAATCAAATTGTTTAGTTCTTCAGGACAATAAATCCCACAACCCTACTTAGCCTCTAATGCTTTTCAATTCTTGCTGGAGACAAATGATAATTTATTAATATGTCGGAAAATATTTTTTTAAATGTCACAAAGAAAAGAAAAATGGGATACAGAAGAATTACTTTCTGACACTTAACGTATGTTTTGGGGTGGGGTGGTTTTTGGTTTTTTTTGTTGTTGTTGTTGTCTTGAACCTGAAAGAAGTTTGGAGGCTACATGTAAGAATTGAACCCAAAAAGCAAGAAAATATGTGAGAATATGAAGGGAGAGCAGGAAATCCTGTCAAGCACTTTTAATTATGGTTGTCTTATTTGGATAGTAAGATTGACAAGAGCATACTCTGCACTGCAGAATAGGACATTTCTTATAGAAATACACTTAGAATCAAGCTTGAAAAACTTGTTATAGCTCAGCTCTTTCTCTGGCCTGCAAAAAAAAAAAAAAAAAACCACATTACTTTTCCTAAAGATTTATTTTCTTATAATTTATTGTCTTTTTTTCTTTATGGAGAATGACAAATTCAAAATCTACATTAATAAATTAGTGTTTAGGATCTGTTCCCAGTTGTAATTTGTGATCTCTGGATTTGAAATGTTGGAATCTTTAAATCACAGCACAAATTATGCAGTCTATAGGGACAAAAGAAAACAGGATTAAATTATTGTGGGTTATCCCAGAGCTGTCAAAAATAAATTACTGTTACAATGTAGGGCCCAACTGTCTTGTATCTCAAGTGAATCTGCAGGAAAGAAAACTGAACTAATATATAAAGAAACTTGCTATATCGCCCCACAGTTTCTCAAAGATTCTGGCTTCTTGCAAGGAGATGAGACCTGTGTAGATGTGTAGGCCGTGTACCTTTCCTGCAGCATTACCAAAAATATGCTCAGATTAAATTTATTGAAACATCACATAGTCCTATGAAGACAGACTGCAGGGGAGCCATCTAGATTTTCTCCATTAAACCAGGATTCTTGAAGTAATAATGTTGTTATTTTTTTGTCATTGATCAAGTGTAATGTTAATAATGTGTCATGAACTTGAAGGCTTTTTCCAGGACACTGCTCTATGGAAAACCACCTTTCCCTAATCCTACTTTAAGCTATACTCCTTGAAAGATAATAGCAGTAGTAATTGAGCTGAATATTTGTTTCAGATTTGAGAGGGAGGAAGAAGCTATACAGAGGCAGTATTTTCCTAGAGTGAGTGGAATACTCTGATTCCTTATAATTAGTAGGAGAGGCTGGCACAAAACCTTTCTAATGCTGTCATGACTTTAATTGCAAAAGAAAGTTACATTGAATCCTAGAATATTAAAACACAAACAAGCTAAACTTTCACAAGAATATATAATAATTACATTGCTGTGACATTCAAAATTGCACTTGGACCATGACTGTATCACATATCCAGGACACTTATGTAGAAGAAAAATACTTGCTGTAAATTTCCATACAATAGAGAGCAATTAAACTGTTGAAATTCAGAATGAAATCTCACAAAAGTATCACTTGTTCTGTTCTGTTAATTTAAAGATGGAAAGAAAGGTGTTCAGTTTTGCAGCTATAACATTAGCTTGAATTTAGTAATTTTAGAAGCTATAGCTTGAGATTCTGCTGTTAATTCTACTCTTAAGACCTTCTGACATTTCTTATGTTCTAGCAGTCATAGTTTCCTCTTGTTTTAAATGGCTTTTTCTCCTGTTACATGAATAATGAAAGCAATTCAAAGAAACCTATAAGGAAACGAAAACGATCAGGAGACCTATGAAACTCATAATATATGCATCATTTTTAAAGACATAAAATAACGGGGAGAATACATAGCTTCTTTAAATGATCTGTGCAAATTATGGGTGGAAAAATTATAATTTGGAAGTGCTGTAAATAAATACAGTTTTTTAAAAATTCAAGTGGTTTAGTCTATTACCTCTTTCTTAAATTTCAGATCTAAGTTATGTCATAACTGTGATGTTATTTGCCTAGTGAATTGGTTTTGGCTTGCCTCTAGCATCACAGAGTCACAAAGTCACAGAATGGTTTGGGATGGGAGGGGTCTTTAAATACTATCTGGTCCAAGCCCTCTGTCATGAAAACATAGTAATAATATATGACTACATTTTCCACTAAATGCTTGATTTCGGAGTGAAGATCTTATTTTCAAAGGGAGATCAAAGTACACAACATGGGTGCCAATCTGTTCAAATCTGTCAATGTATGGTTTCGTAATGCTTGAAAAGTATTGCCTTCTTTACTACAGAAACATTAGGGTAATACATTATCCATTTGTTCTCCAATTAGCTGATTTAAGTCATTCCTCTAAATAAACCTCTAATTGTTTACTGCAATGTGACAGTTCAGTAATGGATTCACTATGGATGTTAAGCTTATAGTTTATATTGTTTAATCTTACTGGCTCAGTGATTTTAAAGCACTGGTTTAAAATTAGGGTGGCACACCAAGCACCATGAGTAAGATGCGTAGGCTACAAACAGACATGACTGAGTGCACAAAAAAGGATGTGTTTTTTCTCAACATTTTGCATTTCTGTAGCATTTCCTGTGAGCTGGTACCCAGCTTCAGCAGGATGCTGGAGCCCTGTATGTTAATGAACAGAAGCAGACAGGTTAGGGAAAGCACTGCAGAGGATCTGCTGCCATGGGACATCAGGTTTCTTTGCCGCTTTTACCACTGTTTTGCAAAGTGATACACTGCAGCAAAAAAACTATAACTTCTGTCTCACTTCAGGAACTACAATTTAGGAGCTGGGGTAATTTGATGAATAGTGTATACTAAGAAAAATATTAGAAACCAGGAAAGGCCACATGCTCCACTGAGGCTCATTTCATTCCAAATCCACCTTCCCTAAGTTATCCAATTGCTAAAAGAAAGAGTGATGTAACCCATTTTTTATAATTCCCCTTCTGGGTATTATGGAGATAAATACCTAAGTGCTGAAGAACTAACTTTCTTTCAGAACACTATTTCAAGAAAAATACTGAAATGCAAATAGGTAGGATGACAGAAAGGAAATTGACCGACCCTAAATAAAAAATACGATGATAGTGGTACGAATATCTGTGTACAGTCACAGTTTCACAAAGTTCCCTAGAGACAAGCTTCCAATCATGAGACTTTCAGATAGTAACCTTTCATATGATTTATTGTTTCAGGACCAATGCAGGAGACAATATATGACTTCTGGAGAATGGTATGGCATGAAAACACAGCAAGCATAATCATGGTTACTAATCTCGTAGAAGTGGGAAGGGTAAGTGGTTTTTGTACTTAAAAAGATTAAAGACGTCCAAGGTGTTTGCTGTTCAAAATTAAATAACAGACCAACAAGGTTCTTACATACTAAGTATAGCACATAAAATATGTATGACTGCCTGTGCTGAGAGGTTTGTTATCAATTATTTTTAAACATGCCTTGGATGCTTGGCTTTGTTACCATTAGCACAATGGAAAAGTAGCTGATAAAGCTGCATTCTGTACAGCAGAGTCTGCAAAGACTGACAAAGAGAGGAGGTGTCATATGTTTGTACATATCTCAGAGATACCATTTCCCTTCAGAAAATCAATCATTTTTTTTGCAGGACAAGGTATGGAATCATCTCTTTATTTTTTTTAAAGAAGGTTAAGGGCGGGGGGGGAGGGTCACTCTGAAACAGATATCTGAGAAAAGTAGTTAAACTATGAAATTGCTTTTGGTATATTTGTCTAAATTGGTCTGGCTTGTTTGGGTTTTCCTTCCTGAAAGTCTTCTGGACTAAAACAGAAAAAATTAGTTTTACACATTTGTGCACTGTTTGTTGATCAGGAGGTCATGTTTGGGAGCTGGATAGTAAAGGAAAGGTTGAGTTACCTAATTGATACTCTGTACTTCTCTTTCTTTGCTTGGTAGCTTCTAAAGTAGGCCTCCTACTCTAGTAGTTATGGCTAATTTTGTTTTCAACAAGTATTGAATGGAACCTTTTTCTGTGTTTCACACAAATGTCAGTGAGTCTTTTCATTTACTGCTTTGTCTGTGCACTGCTGTCTTAGTTCTCATCTGGAATGTTTTTTTCAAGAAAATTTGCTTAGGAATTTGGCTTTCATTTGATATAAAAAGAAATCCCACTGCTTTTTTGGGAACTACTGCAATTCTTGTAAATCAAATTGTTGAAATAAGAAGTCAAATGCACACAGCTTGGTTTGAGCCAGCACAGTTTTAAAAGATGTTTTTAATTTCACACTGGTGGAGTGTCTGATACCCCTCTGCCCTGTGGCATTTGCATTATGAGAGAGTACTGTTTATGTGGTGTGAGTTGAAGTCCTTTTGAGCAAGTCCAGTTTTACGATTTCAGTTTATTCTTCTCTATGTCCTTTGTGAACTGATAATATAAATCCTAACAGTTAGAATCTGTGTGCTCAAGCCTGCTTACAGATCAGGTGCCAGTATTATTTTTAGATGTAAAAAAGATGGGGATTGTGACTGCAATTAACACCTGCTGCAGGAACACATGTACTAATTGCAGAGACAAAGAGGGATCATGGAGGCCGCTTTAAAAATGCAATCCCTTGAGTGAGGAAGAAGGTAGAAATAGCTGGATGGTCACGTATCAATTCAGAATGGGTGGATTTGTAAGAATAGGAAGCTCTCCAGCAAACCTCTTTGTTAAAGCTTTATACACATTCGTAAGTGCCCAAACGAACAACTTTAAAGGGGATGTTTTCTGGGTATGAATAAACAAGCCTGGGAGTAAAACCAGCATTCTGCATGAAACCGCATGCTGTTTTCCCAAAGTCAGTATTTGGAAGCTCCAATTAGAGTGAACTGTCGAATGTCAGCAAGGGAGACACCAGTCTTGGTGCCAGTGCTAGCAGCCTCTTCTCAAAGCATTTAGGTGCACAGTACATTCCCACAGCAGCAAGGAATGGGTTTTGCCACCGTGGAGATTTCTTCAGGGTGCAAGAGATACACATCTGCAGCTTTGTTGTTTCTGTTTGTTTTAGTGGTAGAAATGACTTTGTTCTTACTTTCTCTGGAGGCCAGCACAGGTAAAACCAGAAAGCAGAAATTGAAATGAGCTTTTAATGGAAATAAAATCGTATAAGCCACAGAACAATGCACTCTCTCCTCCATTGGTGTTTTTGTGCCACTCCCAGAGCTGGAATCATCAGCAACAAGGAGGCAAATTACAAATACACCATCTGTCCCGCAACCCCTAACACAAGCTCTGTGCCACCTTGAGTAGTAATGATTTTAATGGACTTTTGGTACCATTCCTGTAGGGCAAACCTTTATAACCTTCCCAAACTTGAGGTTTTCTATTTCTATTGCTATCACTGCTATAAGATTTATAGGGGTTTCTTATTTTTACTTTTTAACCATGTTGACCCACAGTAAGCCAAGAAGGAAAAATCTTCTGCATTTTCAGGAAACAGGAATTTTCAAAATTTAACAGGTTTGCCACACAATGTACGGCCTTCATGAATTAATCATTGAGGGGGCGTATGTGTATTTGTTTTCCAGTACTGGCTGGATAGTCATTAAATCAGTGCTAGGAACTTGCTTCTTGCCCTGGAGCATTATGCATCAGAACTGTTTTAATTGCTGCTAGAGGAATCACCATGAGGCTGTCCCTAATGCAGGCACCTGCTGCAAATGACTCAGTCCCCCATTACCCTCCAGCAGGGTCCGGGTACATCTGCCAATATCTGTCATTATCTGAGGCACACTTGTCAGAACTGCACATCCCTTTAAGCTCTTGTGTGTTCCAGTGAGGGACCCTTGTCAGTGTTTCTGGCACCTGCAGACTGCTGTGCACCTGGTATTTAAATGGCACTGAAATGTGTTTTGATTGTTTTCTCTCTTTAATGAACCCACCTGAGGGACATTTAGCTCTTTATCTAGTAGCCTGTTACCCAGTCACTCACATTTATACTGCTTGTGTGGAAATTCCGAACTATCTCGAGCTGTTACACTAATCCATCTGCCAGAAGTCTTACCAAATCTGCAGGGCTCCCTAAGGAGACTTTTGTACTGATAATTTAAGCTAATGATTTCTAAACATATTTAGTCCGTTTTATGAAGACCTCATTAGAATGTGACTGTTTATTAAAAACCAAAATGAGGTCTCACAGTCATTTAGAAAAAGCATTGCTGAGTCGCATTAATAGTTCTTTGATAAAGGATGATGAAGCGGGACTTAGTTAAGATTGGCCTGGATTGATAACATCTTTTACCAAAAAAAACCCTAAACAAATAAGCAGCCCTTGAAACAACCTTGAAAAAAGGTCTGTATCTTCTTCATGCCGGGATCAACAGCACAATGAAGTTCACAAAAAGAAAATGGCAAGTAATTATTGGAAATGAACCACAAATCAGAGTTTTCCAAGCCACACACTAATGGATAAAAAGCATAAATGAGAATCAATACTCATATAATTACATCAGGGTGACAACAAGCTGTTTCATAGTAATGTATTCTAGATTACATTAATGCAAGAGGCCTACATGCCCATGTCTGCAAATGGTAGAGGAACTGAAGATAGTGTAATTTACGGGAGCATCTTTACCTGAGAGATTTAGCATAATCGGGTGGATTATTCTGTAAGAAACAAAAATTTCTATCCAGCAGTGTGATGATGTTATGATCACACGGGGTGATCATAAAGGAGACACAGAAGAACATCTTGCTTGCTCCAAGAGACCACTCTGGAGAGCAAATTCCCAAAGACCCAGAAAAGCAATGGGAATGTGATCAAAGTGTTTATCTACTGTCCAAAGTCTCAGGTGGTTCTTGATTTGTTTCATTGTTTGCACACATTGAAACATTTCTGTCTTCCTTGAAGAGGCATGGTGGGAAGATTTAGAATATATTCAATTGTGCCATCTAGCTGTCACCTCCATCTTTGCTCTTGTTGTGTTGGTACTAGTACTTAGTTGGTGGAATCAAACTTGGCATGTCACCTTATTTGTCATTTTTCAGTAGTCGCTTTCTCTCCCACTTGCTTTAGGCAGAAGAAATTTAGTAATAACTGATTAATAAATGCTGAAAAATTCAAAATGCTGCAAAATTCAGTAAAGGTGGTTATAGATTGTCTATCATGCTTTTAATGTAACAAAGTATTCACAAACAAAATCACTATAAATAATTATAAAAAATAAAACCTCACCCTCGGAGCATGGTAATTACAGTAATTAGAGTTTCTCAATTATTACTCGGAATTAGAAAACAGCCAGTGCTAATAGTGTTAATAAGCACACAAAAGACCCTTTTTGTGAAAGGAAGCAAGGTTGAGTACAACAGAATGGATGTGACACAAAGGGGAGTGAAGGTCAGCCACAGACTGGTAAACAGCCCCTATGCCTGTGCCCACACCTTTGTGCTACCTAAACTGCCTCTCCCTGCCATCTTATCCCTCAGGAGTGGTATACTTTCCTAACAGTAATTTCACACTCTTTCCAGGTGACATTTCCCTCCCAGGAGCCAGAAGGGCTGTATTTGCATAGGGGAAAAGGAAGAATACAGTGGTGGTTTAACTTTTCCTTGGCTTGTTTTTCTGGACTTGTGCTTGACATGTTATATACGTGGCACTTCTCTGCAAAAATGGGGATAATTCTGACTTTTCAGGCTTAAAAGAGTTCCACATGACAGTGAGGAGATTCATACAACAGTCTTCTGACAGAGGGAATATTTCCTTGATGCTGGCTTGCTATAAAAAGCATTACTTGTAAGATAAATGGTGTCAGAAAAAGGTTGTTCTTCCTAGGAAAGCCTGTATGGTCACAGCCCTAAGTGGTCATATGTTCATGTCTTTGGGTTCTCAGGATGTGCAGCACTGGTCAGCATTCAAGAGACATTTCTTAAACAGATGTTTCCTTAACAAATAAAATCCAAAAGTCTTTATGACGAACCACATCTTCAGATCTACTTGATAACTTGTGTTTTCGACAGAGATTATACATCCAAGAAAAACTGCTAAATAAAACCCTGTCCAAAGACTTCTTACTGGAAACAGATGAAAAGAAAAAACCAAAATCTTCATTGGAAATTTCAGCAACAAAAAAACTCTGTGAAACTTCCAACAGACTTAACACCTATGCTTAGATTGAAAATGGATTTTTTTTTTTTTAATCACAGAGCTATTACAAAGTTTGTACTTATACATTTTACAAGTTTTTGAGAATCTTCCATGAAGAAGATACTTCTAATAAACAAAGGTAAACGCAAATTGTATTTAAGATTCAGATCACCCAATACTGTGATCTTGCAAAGGTGA